CACTGTGCACGGGTGAAAGTCACCGGGGGTTCGGGGAAAACTCGGCGTCTGCTGCGGGCTGAGGGCCTCGAAACCCGCTGACTTTCGGTGTGTTTGGCTTTATAAAGGCTCCGTGTCACTGCCAAGGGGAAAAGCAGGTGCAGGTTGTCAGGGAAGCTGGGGCTCCAGAAAAACGTGAGAAGTCCTCAATATACTGGTGAAAAACAGAAACCAGGAGTGTTCCTGTGCAGTGAGCCCAGTGACTGCAAAAATGTTGTGGAGCTGCTGCCGTGTGGATCTGGGGGGTTTGGCTCGTTATGAGCACTTGCCCCTCTCAGCCCGTCTCCAGTGTCCTTTTCTTAGAGGTGAAACATCAAACCCAGAAACCTCAGCTTTGAAACCTGAAATCCAGGGATAGGTCTGGATATCAACAGTTGGGAGAAAACTTGTGTGGAATCGTTGAGCTTATAAACAGTGATAAGAAAACTTTGTCAGTTCCTTGCTTTTGTCTTTCCCTCCTCCTCTGGTTCTATATTGAGTTATAGTGGCAAATCTGCATCTGTAGTGGGGGAGTAGGGAAATAGCAAGTGATTCCATGTGTTTTATGAGCTGACACAACGTGAGAGAAGGTCTTGTGGAGTTCAGGCGTTTGCTCTGGAGAAGTGGTTGGTTCCCAGCAGAAGATGCTTTCCCACTTCTTTGTTTGTTGGTGATATGACTAAAACTGACCCTGCAGTGTGATCCTGGGGTTTTCTCTGAGTTTCCCGGGGGGAGCAGAGCTGAACCTGGAAGTTACTCGTGGAGTTGCTGTGTGTAGCCAGAGTGTTCCTGGTTTGTGTTGAAGCAGCTCTTTCTCATTGGCAGCATTGAATTTGTGTTTGAATAACAGCATTTCAAAACCAACCTCAAAACCAAGGGCTTTTTCAGACTTTTAGTTACAGTTGAAGAAGATCTAAAGTGATTAAAATAGCTTTAGTTTCCCAACTCCGGTGGCTAGTTTGGTTCTGAAAACATAAGTTTTCACATTTTTTCTTAGTTGATAAGCCTTGTGGATGGATGGGTGTGTGCCCAGGGTGTGTGCCCAGGCAGCCTGTGGGGTTGGTGGGCTGCATGTGCTGGGACTGCTCTGGGGGGGCTCAGTGCCCCTGGGGGTGCTGTGCCCGTTCCCAGCACGGGCAGGGGGGCTGGCAGGGGCTGCTCCCCCCGGGTTGGTGCCGTTCCTGTGCCGCTGTTTGCAGTCCTGCCCGGGGTCTGTCCCTGCCCTGCAGGGTCGTCGGCCCGGCGGGGCTGACCCCGCGCTCACCCCGCTCTCCCTCAGCACACACGGTGTGCTCGGGGCACGTGGCCCTGTTCTGGAAGCTCCTCTCCCGTGCCGTTGAGGGCCCTGTGCAATCCACACTGCCCAGGTGGTTCGGGCATGGCCAGCCAGGTTTGCCTCGTGTGGCCTGGAACTGGGGTCAGAGCCTTCTGGCATCGGGCTGTCCTGCAAATGATTTGTCTGGGTGAGACTGTCGGGTCACTTTTCCGTGTGTTAAAGGATGGTGTGTTCCTGCAGGGAACCCTTCCTTCTGCATCAGGATTGGTGTTCACCTGCAGGAGATGGTGAGGGGGCTCGTGGTGGAGGTGACAAGTGCACACACTGGGCAGACTGGGTTCTATGTAACAATGTCCATGTGTGAGTTAATTAACAAAGACATAAATAACTTCACTAGAACTTCTTCCCAGGTGCGAAAGCTGCCCTTTGGCAATAAATGTCTCCAGACCTGCAATTCCTTCCCTGGTTTGTGCCTTTCACACACCGTAGTGAACAGAGGTTAATGTGCTTTGAAAGACCATTTCCAACAGCATCGTTGGTAATTGTGGTCAGTGGATTTACAGTGAATTTGCAGTTCTGCTGGAACAGAGGAAGTATTTTTAAATAGCTTGTTTGGCCAATCTGGGGGGAAGATTAGTGGCTGACTGGGGAGGAGTGTAGATACCTGTAAGCAGCCTCTAAAGGTCTGTGCCCACTCCTCCAGTTCCCGGGAATTGCCCAGTGCCCCTTTGGGATTCTGGCAGGCTTGGGCAGTGCTAAGGAACTGCCAGCTGGTTTTGTTAAGTGCTGCAGAAATGCTTCAGGTGGAGCATATGCATCTGAAGTTTCTGAGGCTGTTCCTTGATCTGCAAGAAATACAGGTTAAACCCTTTGTCTTTTCCCTGGTATTTATGAAACACTTTCCTAGAGTTCTGCCTCTGTGGAGCTGGGTTCTGTCTATGGGCTGTGCTGACTTCTTGCCTTCCTGCTGCACAAATCTGACTTTGCCTTCCCCAGAGCCCAGCTATAGGTTCCCCAAGGGCAGCACATACCATCCCACTTTACCTTTTATTTATTTGTTTTCTGTTCTGAGCTGTGAGGCTGCGGAGGGAGAGGCTGAGCTTTCGCTTTCAGCCTAAAACCAAAAGTGAACTGTTGTGGTGCCAAAATGTTTCTTCCTCTGGAGGAAACTCCAGGCAGTGAAGTCGGGAGGGTGTTTTGCTGCCATTGCATCCAGGATCAAATCCCCTGGGTTACCTGGTGTGCTTGGCTCTGCTCCCTCCCCTCCAGATGTTGGGCTGTGCCACAGCTGGGAGCAGGGGGGGTCGTGTGAGGGCTTTTTGTGGTGCAGTGAAGTCCCACATGTTGCCTGCAGCTCCACAGGGATATGTGAGATGGGCAGGAGTGGGTTTGAACCCCTCCAGTCTCAGCCCACATGCAGGGGGAGCTCCTGGAACCCCATAAAAGTCATTGGATTTCTCTAAAGTTAGTGTGGAAATTGTATTGGGACAATAAAAAGGAATGATTTTCTTTTAATTGGAGAGTGTGCCAGCTTTAAGGGTGAGAGGCTTGGAGCTTCTTTAGTTCCATGAGAAAGTGAATTAGTTTGAACTACCTGGTGGTGGTGGATTTAAAATCCATATTTCAGTGCAGTTGGGTGAGGGATTCCTAGTTTGGAAGAATATATATATATATATGTCTCAGTAATTACATGTAATATTTCTTTACATTCTCTTTTTAGCTTTTGTTTAGAAAGCTGAATTTTTATGAGTCTAGTAGGTGTGATATTTAATTGATGTGTGTCAGATAATGATGGTTTCCACTGTGTGTAGGGGGAAGCTTTACTGTTGCAAAGTCTTTTGGATCCAGCTTTCGGATAAAAAAGGTCCGTTTAAGGTTATTATTTTTAAGGTTGTCAGATCTCTGCTAGAGGTCCTTAGTTTTTTTCATCTGTTTAGGAGAATTTGTAGCTATGGTTTAACTAGTACTCCCAAGGTGATGTTTTGCATGGAGATATTTATAAGTTCATTTCTGAAAATACTGCAGAAATCTGCAGTCAAACCTCCTTCTCTCTGGTGTCAGGTGTGGGGCAGTTCAGTGTGTGCAAGTGAGGGAGCCAGGTTGGGGATAGCAGTTCTTACCTCAGAAATCTGGGATTGCCCAGCATGGCAAGGGGAAAAATCTAGCACCTCTGTGCCTTTTACT